AGTTACTCTACCCTGCTGCCTCTGCTCGCTGTGGTGAGTGATGTATTGTCTGGACGCAAAGATAGAAGGAAGAATGAAGACAAGGATGGAAACATGGGACCTGACTGTATTGTCAATACATCATAGCTGGCCATAAATTACCATTTGCTTTCCGTTTTGTCCCTTTGGGCCAATTTCACCCAGTTTAGCTTTTAATTGGCATTTTTACATTTAGGTTTCGATTGAAATGTGTGGATCAGGTAATTAGCTATTGATTTCAGCAACTGACAGCCGTTGTATTTCCTGTGCCCCATCAGGAGTTGCAAAGGAGTGTCAGCAGGGAAGAAGAACATGAAAACAAAGAGGGCAATGTGGATGTGCAGTCAGTTTTCTTGCAGTACCCGATGCCGTACCCTCAAGACGACCCATCTCCTCTGCTGGTGCCCCAGCGCCCCACTGATCTCATGTTTGGGAACCCGTACTCTTCTACTGATTCAAGGGGTATCTATGCTGCTAATTCACCATTCATTTCAATTGTTCATTCTAAAAAAGGAATCAAATTTATGAACAAAGGAAGAAATGTCAATAAGTGCACCATAGAATACAACTCTGGTTACATTTACCATTGTTCTAAGATTTTTCATGGGCAAAATCCAGTCATTTCAATTGGAACTCATGCAATTGGGATTTTTGCATGAGGTCGAAAGATTCAAAGTTCAAGTTGACCTGAAATTTTGCTAATGTGACTGTGCCTTAAAACGTGTGTATTTTGCCAATCATTTTAATTATTTTAAGTAGAATTTTTAATGACAACAACACTTTGCATTGCTGTTTCTTAAAAATAAATGCCTTGGTTTGATATTTTGTATCTAATATTATCACAGTAAAACATGTTCAACTTTGTGACTTAAGGCTCCAAACACTTTTTAGGTTACTGTGCATGTGCTCCTTGATTGCTCCTGCTCATATCTATTTGAGCTACAGGGTTTTCTTGAGGTATACATCCAGGTATTAAGTCATTAAAGGGTTTCCTTTCCTGACAGATGGAGCCGATGGAGAGTTCTCTGATGACCAGATGCCCCGACTGCCCCCAGTTGGGCCTCCATCCTGGGACAGCAATGTAGTGTGCATACAGCCCGCCCGGAACCTCAGTCGCCCCGATGGACTGGAGGAACCAGAGGAGCCGCAGAGCACTGTGAGTTAATTACGGCTGCCTCCACGTTCAGCCGTTAGAAGTGATATAGAGGTGGGATTAAGGTTTTAATCAAGTCAGAACTGCAGATGGACTTAAACTCTTCCCAAATCTCTGTCTTTCTTTTATCTGGCCTTCTCTTTCTGCTGTGCTGGCCTCCGGCAGGGCTTAGCTAAGCTGGCATTATTAAAGCCCTGCTAACCCAGAGCAGAGTCATTAAGGAAGCGCTCACGCTCACAACCAATAGAGCTCGTTAGCCTTGCCTGGATAACGGTGGATTTACCAAACTAAACATGGAAGAGCTTCGATCAGTTTGCATAAAACAGTCACTTTTTATCTTAAGTGGCCTGTTCGCATCATGTTTGATGTGACTGAAGTATATAGAAGTATACACAAAGAATTTTATGTACCAGAACTAGTTGCCAAGTATGATTGCAAATTGAAGTCGTTCTCTAAAAAGTCATACCTGAATGAATTGAAACTTTTCTTGCCAAAAATGATTATGTACATTGATTATCTGCTAAATTTGCTAAAACGTGAAATATACAACAGAGCACACTGTGCTGAGTGTTGAAACCCATAATGCAGTGCTCTCAACTTATACTTCCATTTCAAGATGTGTTGAATGAACCATAAGTAAGATCAACCCCAAAAATGAATCTCTTGAATGAAATGAATAGTTCACCAAAAAATGAAAATAATTTACTCAACCTCATGTCATTCCAAGCCTGAATGACGTACTTCCATTTCAAGATGTGTTGAATGAACCATAAGTAAGATCAACCCCAAAAATGAATCTCTTGAATGAAATGAATAGTTCACCAAAAAATGAAAATAATTTACTCAACCTCATGTCATTCCAAGCCTGAATGACGTACTTAATTTGAAAGAGTTTAAAATGTTTTGTATGCAGGGTTAATGTGCAAAATAATTGACTTTCATTGTATGTATATATAAAAAATAAAAATGTCATTTTGGTTGAACAATCTTAACTTTTTTTTCTTCTTCACAAAAGCTGCTTAAAATCGAAACATACCACAACAACATAATCATATTTAAGCCATGTAACAACAGTGTATCATACTGCTGAAATATTTTTTAAAAATGGAAGCCAGTATATACTATGCAGTATGCTAATACTCCATTCCCAAAATAGTATCTCTCACAATCCTGAGTGATTCTGTTGAATGAACCATAAGTAAGATCAACCCCAAAAATGAATCTCTTGAATGAAATGAATAGTTCACCAAAAAATGAAAATAATTTACTCAACCTCATGTCATTCCAAGCCTGAATGACGTACTTGTTTTGTATGCAGGGTTAATGTGCAAAATAATTGACTTTAATTGTATGTATATATAAAAAATAAAAATGTCATTTTGGTTGAACAATCTTAACTTTTTTTTCTTCTTCACAAAAGCTGCTTAAAATCGAAACATACCACAACAACATAATCATATTTAAGCCATGTAACAACAGTGTATCATACTGCTGAAATATTTTTTAAAAATGGAAGCCAGTATATACTATGCAGTATGCTAATACTCCATTCCCAAAATAGTATCTCTCACAATCCTGAGTGATTCTTAAAACTCGCGGCTTAATCACTGTAGTGCAGGATGCATTGTTGGAGAAATTAATTAGCTATTCATGACTGCTTCAAGATAGTAATTAATGTCAGATTATTATAGTTAATTTACATGAACAACACAAAGTATGCATTTGACAGTATGTATTTGGTGCACACTTTAATCCTGTATACACGTGGTTCATTTGAGAATATTACAGCGTCATTTCTCCAAGATGCTGCTGTAACAGCATTTTTCTTTATTTGATATTTGATTCATTACTGGTTCCCTCTTCATACTCTGTGGTTCCCTTATTCACTTTCACACATTCTCGCGCTTCAAAACGGCGCTGATTGATGACATGCTATACTGTGTAGACTGAAATGTAAATATATTTAAATGGAATGAAAGATATAGTGTGCTGCATGTTAGCTTGCTTATTGTTCCCATGATCATGATCTATATGTCATACTAACAAGAAAATATGCTGTAATTCCAACCACACACGCTTGGAGCTGTTTTGTGAATATTTGTTGAAACTGTTTTCCGAAAACAGCGTATTCTGTGTTGGTAACGATAGAACTTGTGATCATAATTGGCTAACGATGCTTTTTAGAAACGCACCCCAGATCATTGGACCAATATGCTATGACTTCCTCCTACATAATTGCATATGTTTATCATATTTTGCCGCACAAACAGGATTTCTTGCCGTTATTAATCATTCACAGTGAATTGTCTAATACAGGTTTTTCGTTGGTTTTTGCTGAAAGGAAATGTTTTTTTTTCTTCTCTCCCCAGCAAACCAGTGATCAGCCTACAGCTGCTGACCCCGCAGAGTTCCTCAATGATGGACAGATGCCATTCTGCTTTGAAGCCAGGTAAGAACGCACACAAACAAGAACCTCGCGGCTGTTACCTATCATGTGGTTGAGCTTCGTTGTGGTGCGAGTATGTGCATTAGCTCAACGGCCCACCCACATCGCCTTCACACAGATGCTGTTTTACTGCCGTTTACTCTCCTGTTGTTCCAGCGCCAGCTCATTCACACACCTTACCACACTTTACACCCTTATTTATCCTCGTTCAGTCTTTGTTATTTGTGTTTTTAATACAGTTTAATTTCTCTGTCTCACAGTGGGGAGCAGAAGCGATGTCCGCTGTGTGAAGTGATCTTCCCTCCTCATTATGACCAGTCAAAGTTTGAGGAGCACGTGGAGAGCCACTGGAAGAACTGCCCCATGTGCAGTGAACAGTTCCCTCTCGACTGCGACCAGCAGCTCTTCGAGAAGCACGTCCTCACCCACTTCGACAGTAACATGCTCAACTTCTAGTCGATAAAATTAGTACTTGCCTCCACATTCTGCTCATTTGTGTTACAGTTAACAGCCACTTAGCATGTTTAGCTTTGAGCATTCATCTGTAGAGAACTGATTCTTTATTTAACACAATCAAGGCAAGTACTGTTAATGAATTCCAAATGACTGAACGATGGATTTGGATGACATTTTAGGGTCTTTATTTAAGTCCATTTTAGTTGGGGATTACTTCTGTCAATAGGACTGTTTATTCTAGTTCACTTTAACGCTTCTCATATCAAAGTTAGCACTTGAGAGTACTTTAAGAAGACTGAGCAAATGTCATATTAAACCATTCTGTTGAGAACCATCCCCAGGTTCCATAGTTTGAGTCAGGTATCGTCTACTATAGTCTGTGCAGGCAGAGCACAGCTTTTTCTGTCAGGTCATGTATGTGACCAGCTAAGAGGGTGATTCTATATTCTAAAGTTATTTGAGAATAAGCTTTTAAAGATTAACCTTGATAATCAAGTTATTTGAGTTAGTGTTTTTCCTTTATCTATTTAAATCACTTACTTTAATTGAGTTGCATGCTCTCGTTTCCTGTGCACTGAAATCACAGACCTCTTTTTTTGTTCCATTTCCTTAGTTAAATACTGTCTCTTTCTGTGTGAGTGTGTCTTATATACTTGATCTAAACCAATAAAGATTTCACTGAAGCAATATTTATGCTGGTCATACTGAGTTGATAAAATGTGAAAACATATGATGCGATTTCAATTTTTTATTTCTCTTTGGAGTGTTACAAGCTCTTGGTGCATAAAGAAGATCTTCGTCACATGTGGTTGACACAAAGCCTCCTTTGTCGAATCCGCCGGGCGCTGCTCACTCAAGCCGCGGTGTGTTTCGTTGTGAAAGCAAACTACTTTGTTTGGCCTTCCAAAAAGGAACATTGTTGTCCAGAAACTTAAGAAAATATAATTTAAAGCACTCACATCAAGACAATACATTAAGTACACAATATATCAAATACTTCCCTCTGTACTGGCAGTGTAATACTGTTACAATGTTGCATCTAAACCCATACTGCAATTCCAACAACATTAACATCCATGCGGTGGTGTCATAATGAGTGATTGGCAGGCCCTGATCTGGCCGGGATCTCTGGAGGGTCTAGCCACTGTTCATTTATACCACCCACAAGTCCAAAAGCAAAACAAATCAAGTACCTTTCTGATTCGAGGTATGAGTCCATACTTGAAGATCTTTGGGTTGGTTGTAACGTTACATCATCCCAGTGACAGGTTAGGGGTATAAAAGTCACATGGCCACACCAGAGACAAGCCAGAATCAGGATGAATTCACAATCTGAATCACTTGGCTACACATATACTATACTGGAATGCTGTGGTGTACCACAATTCAAGGCAACCAGTTTCAAGAATCTTAATCTAACAAGCACACTGGAGGTATAGCGAAAGAATGAATTCCCTTAGCTAGAAGAAAAAGAACCTCAAGAGACGGAGACCTCCAAAGCGCCATATTAGTCCTTTGAATTTCGCAGCGGACTCGCAGAAAACATTCTGCAATTTGTGGGCGATACAAAATGCCCTAAACATGTTGGCAACTGGTCACTACAAAGTGCTTTAGGTTCTTCACCAGATCGCTGTGGAGTTCTAGAATGCTCCAGAACGGTCCTGGGAAGAGTGTAACAGCCTACTCTAAAATACTAACAGGATTATAGTTCTGAAATGCTGGCGATTTGTCACCTGAGAGTCATTTGGTGCTGTAACTCAAAACTTTTCTGAGAATAACGGAAAAGGTGAAAGCACTACCAAAAAAACTGCACATCCATAATCAATCGATATCGTCATCTCAGAAGTTCAGTTGAAAATATACAAAATAAAATTTAGGAATAAAGTATAGAATTTAAATCTGACTAGGAAACGTATAGAATATAGTTATATACACAACCTTTAGCTATGAAGGTTGCTTATATGGGGTAGATATTGTTATATTACAAACATTCAGACTTTTCAAGCCTTTCCTATTTTTCGTTTTTCTCCCACAGAGACTCATGTTCACGCCGAATCCTTAAGCTTTACTCATGTTCGGCACGATTCTCTCCTTTCCAAACATACCGTCAGTCTTTTACAATAAGCACCAAGCATCAAAAAAATAAGATGAGAAAAAATAAAAAGAATTAGCGAATGTGCAAAAATACAAAACTGTTAACTAATAATAAGATACAAATAAGCAAAGGAAAAAAAAAAAAAAGAAAAAAAAAATTACAGAAAGCATGCAATTCAAAATGTAGTGTTTTGATAGACGGTTGAATCAAATCCTCCTCATGGAGGTCCGGAATGACACAGGGATTCTGGGAGTCTTCCTTGAGGAAGAGGAATAGAAAACGATTAAAGTTTCTTCCTCATGAGGAGTGGAAGGAAAAGGGAGGCGCAAGAGTCTTACTCTTGAAAGAGTAAAATAGAGAGAAAGACAAATTGTCCTCCAGATACATTTTTTTTGGATGTCCTCCAAAAAACTGAGGACAAAATGTGTCAAAGTCACAGTTAATGGACAGCCACAGCTGCTGGTGCGGATGGATGTGGAGGTGTTCTGTTTGTACTGTATATACATGTATTGGAGTGTGTGTGGGGATGTAGAGGAGGATGTTGGCACTCTACTGCTGCATCTTGCGGATGATGTCGGCAGAGACGGGCGGGTGGAAGTTGATGGTGTGGTGTCGAAGCCCCTGAGAGCTCTTGTAGCTTTTACCACACCGGCACTTGAAGGGCTTCCGAACGCGGATCTGAGTGCGGTGGCCGTTCTTGGCAGGCTAAGCTAGCAGGCTAATTGGTTAATGGTACGCTAAGCTACAGTAGTAATTTGAGGTGTTTAGCTTGAGATATCTATAATTTCACAAAACCTATAGCTTCATTGTATGGCAAGCCGTTTTGACTTTTATTCATTCTCAGGATATGAACAAAATTTTAAAATACATTCAAATAGAAAACTGTTCTTTTAAATTGGGATACTATTTCACAATATTATAGTTTTTACTGTATTTTTGTCAAACAAATGCAGCCTTGGTTAAACTAAGAGACTACTTTCAAAAACATCAAAAGAATCTTACAAATCCCAAAATTTGAACATTTGTGTAGAGCATAGGCTAAGCTAGCAGGCTAATTGGTTAATGGTACGCTAAGCTACAGTAGTAATTTGAGGTGTTTAGCTTGAGATATCTATAATTTCACAAAACCTATAGCTTCATTGTATGGCAAGCCGTTTTGACTTTTATTCATTCTCAGGATATGAATTCTTGATATCAACTATTCAATTTTTACTAGTTAAAATGTTCATACTTGATATCAGGAATTAGATTTCTACTAGTAACAATTGCTATTTTTGATATCAGCAATTACATTTCCACTAGTAACAATGTTAATTCTTGATATCTGTAATTGTATTTTCACTAGTTAAATGTCACCATAGGCTGCCATTCAAAATCAATTGTTGATATCAAGAACTGATTTCTTACTAGTTGAAATTCCAATTTCACATATCAGAAATACAATTCTTACTAGTAAAAACCTTTATTTTGTCACTAGTGACAATTAAATTGTTGATATCAAGAATAGACGTCTGTACTAGTAACCATGTGATTACTGATTATCAAAAATAAAGGTTTTACTAGTAAGAATTGTATTTCTGATATGTTAAATTGGAATTTCAACTAGTAAGAAATTAATTCTTGATATCAACAATTAATTTTGAATGGTAGCCTATGGTGACATTTAACTACTGAAAATACAATTCCTGATATCAAGAATTAGCATTTTAACTAGTGAAAATTGAATTGTTGATATCAAGAATTAACATTGTTACTAGTGGAAATGTAATTGCTGATATCAAAAATAGCAATTGATACTAGTAGAAATCTAATTCCTGATATCAAGAATTAACATTTTAACTAGTAAAAACTGAATTGTTGATATCAAGAATTCATATCCTGAGAATGAATAAAAGTCAAAACGGCTTGCCATATCATTACATATGAGTATATGTAACAATTTAAAAGACATTAATGGTTGTAATAGCAGTTCAGTTGGCAAACATCATGAAGCGACTTTGTCTAATCAGGAAGTGGAAAGACTGCACATTAAAAAGTTCTTTCAGCCAATGGAATCATTTTGTGATCTAGACAGACTCGATTCAGCACAGAGGGGGCAACTGCAGCTTACACTGTGCAAACAAATGTTGTTTTACAATCCAATTACTACAAGTTTTCAATTCTGTATTGACATTGTAACATATCATTTCTCAATAATCTGAAGGCAAACTAAATGATCTGGGAGTAAAAATGCACTTTAATAATTCCAGAACATCCAGTGTTGTGTGAAATAATAAAGGAAAACCATCAGCTGCTTGACAGCAGTGGAGACCAGGCACCGACTGAATCCAAATAAACCCAAATCAGAGCCACATCTAACAGTACATCTGAACATGCAAAGACACTCTCATGGCTGTCATCATCCATTTCCTCTCCCTCTTATTGAATGCGGCGCTCACAGGCTGCACATCATTTATCTCTGCAGCCAGAACCAGATGGCAGTGGAAAATCTCATAAAACGCACAGGCCTTCTGTGGACTGCATGTATGCCTTTAAAATACATGTCAAGCCTCCAGTCCCATCCTCATTACAGCTCTTTGTGTTAGTAAAGTCTTTGACTGCAAGAAGGCAGTGAGAGCCCAGCATTCACAGTTTGATCATATTTGTGCCACTGGTGATTGCTATTGTTTATGGATGCACAGGTGTGCTGTAAACCTGCCTTTTAGTGAATGAAACCCCAAGTAAACAGCTTTAAATAATGGTGCTAATAGATTTGAGGTCTGTGAGAAATGATTTTATTATTTAATGATATACATACTACTTTTCAAAAGTTTGGGGCATTAAGACGTCTTTAAAAAAAAAATAAAAAATTAATACCTTTATTCAAAAGATGTTACAAAAGATTTCTATCTCAAATAAATGCCGCTCTTTTGAACTGTCCATTCATCATACAATCCTGAAAAAGAAAAAAAAATTGTTTCCACAAAAATATTAAGCAGTTTTCTGCATTGATAGTAGTAAGAAATGTTTCTTAGGCACCGAATCAGCATATTAGAATGATTTCTGAAGGATCATGTGACACTGAAGACTAGTAATGACTGCTGAAAAATCACAGGAATAAAATAAATTTTGAAACCTATTAAAATACAAAACCGTTTTTTTTATTTTGTAATAATATGTCACAATATTACTGTTTTACTGTACTTGTGATTAACTAAAAAAAAGAGACTTCTTTACAAAAAATGCTTATCGGTCCCAAACTTTTTAACAATATTTATAATTTAAATAATTTTATGTATATCTGAAATCAAATGTATTCATTAAAATCTATGTATAAAATAATAAAAAAGTTTTTGATCATTTAGACAATTTGCATGTTTTTCATGCTATCGGTCTTGGAAAAAATTTTCAAACCTACAGTGAACAGCCAAATGAAAGTAGATATTTTCAGCCATTTTTACCTTGTATCTCTTTTTGCAGCCAGGCACGGGACATGCGAACGGTTTCTCATCACCACCGTTCATGCACATGGAACTGAGGATGGATTCAGAGCTAATGGCACTTTCGGTGGTCCACGACTCGTCACTGTCAGACTCTTCATATTCTGCTTCCTCCTCATCATACTCGCTGCCTGAGAGTACACAGCAAATCATCGTTTAGTAATTAATCATGTATCAAACCTTTAACCTGTCGGCCCAGATATTTAACCACTACTACGCCAGAACAACAAAACAGCGTTTCCCATCAGCCACCACAGCAGACATACAAAAGCTTTAATGAAACCGGTACAGTTATCTTTCTCACAGTACTGTGCCCAGCCAGAAAAGCGTTTGCATTTTATGAGAAAGAATCTGGAAGGCATAAGAAGGTCTAAGGGTTAATGCACAGTAATAGTATGATACAAGCAATTTGGAGACTATTTAGTTTAAATGTGTTCCAAACCCACACAAATAAAATGCTTAAAACATTTAATTGTGGGAGAGAGAGCACATGTTGCTCTGGAGAAGGCCATGGGAAACTGCAGCTATGAAAAAAACTGTCTCTCACAATGTGATTATTTGATTATCTATTACATCAGAACATCAAACAAGCACTGCAGGTTTAATGGAGTTATTACATCAAAATGAATCTTTCTAGCGAACATAGTGAGCATACAGCAAGGTGCCTGTGTGTGTAAGTTCCTGAAGGAGCATGTGTTTGGTGGGACTACCTGTGGGGGTGCTGCTCCTGAATGAAGATGAGGGCGTGATGGGCGGGGTCACGGGCGGGGTCAGGTTGCCGCTGTTGTGGCGAGGGGGCGTGGCCACGCTGTTGCGTGAAAAGCTGCCCGTCAGTGAGAGTGACAACTTTGGCTGAACTTTCTTCTTCAGAGAATCATTCTCCCGCCGCGCTGCATCTGTCATAAACCTAGAGAGGGAAGTGAACTTTATTAGATGAAGTTCTTAAACTGAATTACAAGAAGTTATAGCAAACACAAAACAAAGACCTATTGCTTATTGGGAAGCCCAAACATGTAAAGTAACAGTCATAAATTAAAACACTCTAATCCAGCCACTCAAACATCAGTACATTTGCCATCACACTTTCTGAGCAATTAATTTCCATGACTTTTCTAGCTGTTTGTGATTACTGGATAATGATTGAAAACAACAACAACAAAAAAAAAACTATAAAGACTGTGCAATCAAAGGCTTTCCAGCCAATTAAACTTACTCACTACAAAAAGCTACATGACGTTTCTGGGGGAAAAATAGAAGTATAGAAAAAAAAAAAAAAGTCCCTGATATTTCCAGCCCTTTATCTGTCCACTCTAACTGAAAGAAAAATACCTTGATAAGATACAGACTCAGTGAACACAATGTAGCAATGAAAATGAGCTGGCATGGCTGTTAAAGGAAAAAGCCTGTGGAAACAATATGCATTTTCACATGTATTACACACACAACAGGTTCAACAGAACCCATGGAAAATATTTGAACCAATACGCCAATATATCAAACTTTGACAGAATGCAAAAAAGAAAAATTCTTCAGCCTACTTTCTTCATAATCATTTATTAATAATTCATTTAATTCATAATATGTTTTTGCACCAATATATTAGTACACTGCATTAATATAATAATTTAAATTTTTTTAATGCTCAAGAAATAAATCAGCCAAGAACTTGAGTATTAGGTATGAAAAGATGGGCGATGATTTTTCTGTTGGTGTTGATCGATGTACACTACTGTTCAAAAGCTTGCAGTCAGTAGGGTTTTTAAGACATTTATAGTGTTGCAAAAGATTTCTATTTCAAATAAATGTCTTTTTTTAACTTTATATGCATCAAAGAATCCTAAAAAATGTTTCATGGTTTCCATAAAAATTAAACAGCACAACTGTTTTCAACATTGATGATAAGACCAAATCGGCATATTATGCAATAATATTTAACAATATTACAACGTACTACAGCATAACGTTTTTGCTGTATTTTTGATCAAATGAATGCAGCCTTGTTGAGCATCAGAGGCGTCTTTCAAAAACATTCAAAATTCGTACAAATCCCAAACTTTTGAACAGTAGTGTACATGAGAGTAGGCCTGTCGCAATAATCAAAATATCGACTTATCGCGCAATATATGTACATGACCTCAATAATTTTTGGTGACGCAATATATAGCACATTATATTTACTTAAAAATTTATGTCACCATGTTTTGTACATTCCACTTGCACCTGTGTCTTTTGCAGCTTCTCGTACATAACGTAGATTAGTCATGAGGACCTAGTTCAAATTTAAAAAAATGCTTCTACAAAAAAATGTTTTATCTGCAGATATGGTCTAGTTTAGGGATCTGTGTCTTTGTGCATACGGACATGTGACTGCTAAGTAGCGATTTTTTTTTCAGCAATAGTGTGCACCCTTAATTTACAGAGAAAAGAAGGTCAGGGAAAAATCTGTAGATGGAAAAATCTCAATACAAGTTCTTTGTGCATTTTTCTTGTTTTTTTCTACTTGTTACTTTGCACTTTTTGTTAGAAAATGTTTATTCACTATTTATTCAAGTTTTTTAAGGTATCTAATATTTTGATAATTTCCATGATCTAAATATTCTTAAAAAATTAAAGTTTGTTGTCATTTGAAAGTGTGTAGGCCTTCTTGCG